TCACCTAGTGATGTTGTAGCCATTGTAATGTCCTAGCACAATACACTACTCAAGTGTTTGTGGTAATGCTGGTATAAACAAACCTACTGTGCTGCCAGTTTACTAAAGTACAGCAAATATAATTATGGATTGTACACAATACTTGGTAATAAATGACTATGTTACTGGTTTAGGTATTTACTATACTGTACTTCTGATTGTTATTTTAGAATAAATTCATATGATACATAAAAAAAAAAAAAAAAAAAAAAACCTAAGCATAAAATGGCCTCAGGCAGGTCCTTCTGGAAATATTCCAGAAGAAGGCATTGTTATTATAGGAGATGACAGCTCCTGAACTCTAATAGGGCAATAGAGGTAGAAGACAGTGATACTGATGATTCTGACCCAGTGTCAGCCTAGGCTAATGTGTTTGTGTCTTCCTTTCTAACCAAAAGTTTTAAAAAGTGAAAATAAAAACAACAAAATAAACCCTAATTATATAAAGAAGATATTTTTGTTCAGCTGTATAGTGTTTGCATGTTAAGCTAAGTGTTATTATAATAATACAGTCAAAAAGTTTAAAAAAATTAAAAAGTTTATAAAGTAAAAATGTTTTAGTAAGATTATTACTGAAGATCAATAATATATGCAAAGCACTTGGCACATGGTACATTGTTCAACAAAAGAGAGCTAATAACTTTCTATTTTTTTCTTTCTCCAAAACCAGCCAATAGTAAAATTTAGCTGTAAGAATTATCTATTTCCAAAAAATAAAAACAATTATCTATACATTTCCTGATATCTAATTTATTTTTACTAAACTGATAATAATAATAGTTCTCATAAATAAAATTGTCAATGTGATCTTTTTACGAATTTTTAGTCTTTTTTTTTTTTTTTAGACCGAGTTTCACTCTTGTTACCCAGGCTGGAGTGCAATGGCGCGATCTCGGCTCACCGAAACCTACGCCTCCTGGGTTCAGGCAATTCTCCTGCCTCAGCCTCCTGAGTAGCTGGGATTACAGACACGCGCCACCATGCCCAGCTAATGTTTTGTATTTTTAGTAGAGACGGGGTTTCACCATGTTGACCAGGATGGTCTCGATCTCTCGACCTCGTGATTCACCCACCTCAGCCTCCCAAAGTGCTGGGATTACAGACTTGAGCCACCGCGCCTGGCTTCAATTTTTAGTCTTAAAACCAGAACTTGGATGCTCTACTTTGACATCATCTTTACAAAGAATCATTGTTTTCTATGTAAATCATAAGAGTTAGAAAGTGCCTTGGAAGCCGTGCAGATGAATGATTCTAGAACACCTGTCCCTGGACTGGTGTCAATTCATGACAGTTTTCATTAGTCCCTTAACATATAGAGAAAAACAACAAAGGTTTTCATGTAACCAAAATTTTCATACAACTAAATGTATTCAATTTAAAAGGCTATCTTTATTCTGAGACTATGTCCTTCCTAGTTTTCTGTTTTAAAATGTCTTCTTTTGTGTGATTTTTCCCTTATATATTTACTTGTCCACTCCTTATCTTGTCACATTTCCCTTTTATTTTTAAACATTGTGGCCTTTGGCTACCAATAATCATACAAAAATGCAAGATAGAAAGTACCAGGAAAAGTCAAGTAATGATAGTGTTAAACCAGCCTTCTCCCAAAGCAAGAATCTCCACCAAGGGAGAAAAAGGCGTTAGGAAAAATAGCTAACACATGCTAGGCTTAATACCAGTGATGGGTTGATAGGCGCGGCAAACAACCATGACACACATTTACCTATGCAACAAACCTGCACATGTATCTGGGAACTTAAAATTAAAATTAAAATTAAAAGAAAAATCCCCACTAAAGCATTCCTGAAAACTATTCACATTTGAATGAGTCCTGTCTTAGAAAAATAATTTTCTGTACATACAAAAACAAAACAATATTCATAAAAAGTTGATGATATATGTGATCTACAATTTTAAGGGTAAAATTTGTGAAAATCACTATATTACTTACAACCTACAAAAATCATGAAAATCAGAAAACATTTGTTTTCAAAGCAGAATAACTTCAAAGATTTTTTTAAAAAACAGAAGCAAAGTATTTGCAAGCAAGAAAAAAGTCTCTAAAGCATTAAAAGTGGAAAACTCAAAAGAAAATGTAAATTAGTAAATTATAACTTTACCAGAGTGAATTAATAGGATGGTAAAAGAATTCCATTTATCTCCACATAGCTTTTCCAAACATTGAAGGGCACAAAGTGTTGATCCTCCATTTCCTTAAAAATAAAGTTAAAAAGCACAATTTATTTCATAGAAACCTACTAAAAGTGTCATGACAGTAAATTTAGGTGTTATATAACATTAAAGATTTGGCTTTCAGCAATAATTAAATAGACAGATACCAAAGGAATTGCCAATAGAACAAAATTAAAATCATCTCATAGTAAACAACCAGACAATAAATTAGCAACGAAACCCGGACAGCAACCCTCAGTAATAAATGATGAGGTAACATTCTCCCCAAAATAGTAATTATAAGAAAGAATAAATTACAAAATCTGCACACTAGAAGACTGATAAGTATAAACATTCAGAGTTACAAATCACAAAGCCCATTTAAAGAATTCTCCCAAATGACACAATCAAAAACACAAGTTAGAGTTCCTTTTGAAAAAAGATTTTCAGAACTTGGATTACAAAAAAATATATATTAAATATAACTACCACATTAGTTATCCTGGGCCAGTTACTTAACTCTAGGTACCTCAGAGTCTCATCTATGGAAATAATAAGAGTACTGACCTCATAGTTGCAAGGATAAAATAAAAATAACATTCGATAATTAGAATAACGCTAATGTCATATGCAGATATCCTATCTCTGGTATCAAGGTGCCTCAACTTTTAGTAGAAAGCACATAGAAAATAGCCTTCAGAAAAAGAGCATTTATTTCTCTTCATAATGGAAGGTCAAAGGGCAAAGTTGAACTAAACTAGGGTTTTCAAATATATGTTTAATGATATTTAAACTATGTGACAGTGTTATTTTGCATACTGCATTATATCTCCAAAAGGCCAGGAGTATTTTTTCCCCATTTGCCTTCTTCATGTAAACTGCTGGAAAAACTGTGGAGCTGGGAGGACTTTAAGGGCTCCACTGATAAGGTCCAAAAGAACATTCCTACCTGAGTAGTGTAAATTTCATTAAAACTAAAAAAATTATCTTTTAAGTAACATTCTAGAAGTTGTTCAAGGTAAGTCATAATGGGTAAGAAGAGTTGATACGCCCTGTTCTACAAATTTTAAAGTATGTAAAGCTGTAGGTAGAGATATGCAGCTTGTAAACTGTAAGCCACAGAAAAGCTTTTCTTCAATGATTATTCTGCTTAGGGAATATATTATAAACCTGACCATAAAGTGCGTACCAATTTTGGCTCCAGCAGGATCTACAAAAACGTGATATTGAACTCCAAGGGGTAACTCCTTTCTTTTCAGCTTTTCGGACAGCTGTTGATTGTAAGCAAGTTCCTGTTTTTCATCAGCTGCTGTTATTGCAACTATGTCCCAGAATTCTCCAGGTGCTACCACTTTGCCTATTTGGAAAAAGCAAGAAAATAACAACAAAAATTATCAGAATTTTCTCGCTGTCACAGGTTTGCCTATTTAGAAAGATGAAAAAGAAGATAACATTTATTATCATCTTCCAAATGTATCTTTGGCTTTTGAGAGCTAGGAAATAATTAGTGGTGCATTAGTATAAATCAAAATAGTTATAATAAGGACTGCTCACAAGTTCTTTTTTTTTTTTTCACTCTCTTTTGATTATTCCCTCCTTTTACGGTCTACAATTCCGTTTATCTATAAATTCTGAAAGATACAATTTTTCTTGATTAAGAGAGCTAATTTCACTTGCCAAAGACTATTACCAGTTTTGCAAATCAATTCTTATATATCAGGGCCATTTAGTGTTAGGTGATGAAGAAAGACACAATCCAAAGATCCATTCCATCAATGCTGCTATTTATAAATGTAGGTACTTTGTTTTCTATTACTTTAAGATGAACCATGCAAACTTAAATAGGCTGTTAGAATATTTAGAAGGTCCCAACTCTCTAATGACCTCTTTAAAAGACAGTCTGCACTTTTAGTAGACGGTTGGAATCTCTTTATTGACAAACAAAATGATTAAATGTTTTAATTAGTTAACAAACGTAACTTGTCAGCTAGAATCTAACAGTCGTGAACATTTTACTGTTATCCAAGTATTAGTCCCAATATTTGTTAGTCACTGTATCAAAAGTTTAATCACTTTTATTAGACAGTTGTACGGGGATTAAGTGGCATAGCCAATTTTTTAATGACAAATTTCTCCCTTTTAGTTTTTAATCCATAATTCCTCCATGTTCTGTTGCTCCCTCAACGAGTGCTTACATTACAGGAGTAGGTGAAGGTAATGTAAACTATGAAGTAGATAGGGGGTTGGTATCTACTCATAAAGGTCTAAAATCTAAATACTGTGCTTCAGATCTTTTAGATTTACTTGAAGTAACTTTTACCAACGAGCTAATCAATGCATAACTTCACTAGTCAGATTTTCTTTAGTCTTCTTCCTTCGCCCTTATTTAATACCTACACTACTAAGAATAAAGTAAGCAACAAGCATAATGTTAAGCAGGGACAGTGAGAAGAAGAAAAAACTCAGAAGGATTATTAGCTAGCTACTTCTGAGCCAGTCACAGGCCTGCAGATGAGAAGCAGACGGGAAGTGACAGTCCAGCAAAACTCCTGGCACGCAAAAGCACCCTCCCTCTCCATCGCCCGGGAGAACTCAGGTTCGTTCCTTCTCTGGTACCTCTCAGCTCGGAAAACCTCCGCAATTTTCGCTGGGTGGCTTCTCTCAGCGATACTTCCGGAGGGTCCCGAGCAGCTGCCATAGCCCAACCTTCCCACAGCCCGCGCAGCAGAGCACGCATGCGCCCTGGCGTGCTCCTCGGTACGGTTGTTGCTGAACCGCCCCTTCCGTGCGTCGCTCCCATAACCACGCCCCCGGAGCGCCTCGGCCGACGCTCGGAAAACCTTGATGGGGTGAAGCTGAATCTTGTCGTGTTTCTCTAGCAATTGTCTCAGGAGCAGATGGCCACCCAGCGATTTGTCTGACTGTGTTGGGCCTGGGCCGCTTGTTTCCAACTCTTAAGGGCCTGCAGCCCAGTAGACCCGGTGAGTGGTTCGGGTTGGGTAACAAAATTGTTAGAACCGACACGCTGAGGAACAATCTAGCTTCCCAACTTCCACATCAAAGGCGACTCGTCCTAACTGGCGGTTTGTTTCAGCCGGGAGCAGCTCCCCAGGAGATCCTGACAGAAGATTTTCTCCATCTTTCCCCTTTCCCACGCCACCCCAGGTCACGTAGAGCCATCTGCCCCCAACCCTGGGTCCTGATACCTATACAGTCTATTTAAAATCTCTGTTCTTTTAAAGAACATTAAGTTTGTGGTTCCTAGAGAGTGAGCCACCCCACCCCTCTGTTTATTCTTAGTAGGGTACCCACGACAATCTCCCAGATAGTGATTTTGGAAATTGTATAAAACTCTATCCGCAACCAGGCTCCAAACATTTTTGGTATTTTGGTTTCTTTTCTGTCATTCTTTTGTATATGCAGATTAATCTAGAATGTTCAATAACATTCTTAGGAATAAGTCAGCCTTATTAGGTGTGTTTTTGGTAGCTATGTAGAGGTGTTCCTGTTGTAGAACACCAAGTTTATTAGTTTTACAGATTGATCACTTCATCTTTACACAGAGGAAAATTGAATCAGAGAGAATAGTGACCTGGTCAAGGTATCACAATTAGTAAGTAATAAAATATTTAAGAAATATATTTCAATCCCAAACCCAGAACTTGTGCTATTTCACCATACCGTTTGGTTTTTTGAGAACTGTGTTTATCAACGTCTTCATTAGGCATGTAGGCATTCAGGGCACCATAAACTCTTGTCATAAATTTACTTAGTTTTTCTTTTCAGATTTGTTATTCAATCCTGTTCTAGTAGTGGAAGCATTTGGGTAAAATGGCAGATTAGATTAGTCTTTTATACCTTTATCATTTAAAACTTTTTATTAATAAAAAACGTACCTTACTGAAGAATATTTAGAAAATACAGAGACTTGAGTGAGTAAGCAAAGGAGAAAGCAGCAAGAGGTCAGAAAGGAACAAGGGGCCACGGAAAAATTTTTGGTTTTCACTCTTGAGGAAAACAAAGCCATTGCAGGGTTATGAAGTGACTTACCTTATGTTTAAAGAGATCACTCAGAGATATGAGAATCGATTATAATGGGAGATGGGGGAAAGACAGAAGCAGGGAGACTTGTTTGGAGGTTACTGCAATAAAGCAGGTGAGAGTTGGTGAAGGGTTGGCCAGGATGGTAGCAGGATGGTGAGAAGTTGGTCAGATTCTGGATATATTGTTTAAGACAAAAACAATAAAATGTGCTGAAGGAATTAATGGGTGAGGAGTGTAAGAGAAAAAGAGAAGTCAAAGATGACTGCCTTGGGATGGATTGGTCATCAGTTGAGATGGGTGGGTTTCTGACTGAGGAAGGTTGGTGGGTAATAGAGTTCAGAATTTGATTTTTGACACGTGGAATAAACAGACATATGTGTATGCAGTGAATATGTAATGGAAGTTTGTGTGTATGTGTCTGTATGCATTATACATGTGAGTCCAGAATTTAGGAGAGAGGTCTGGGCTAGAGATGTGATTTTGAGAATTGTCAGCAAGTAGATAGAATTAATTTTAACGGTTGGACTAGGTGAGGTCCCAAGGGAATGAAGGTCAGCAGAGCCTATATGTTTGGTGTCTGTACATTCTAATAAGGTAGATAAACAAGGAAGAAGTAACCAAATAAAAAATCCAGTGATAACAACCATGAGGAGACAAACAGTGATATGTCAGATTCTATCATATAGAATATTAAATAGAATATTTCTTTTTTCTGGGAAGGTATTATACAGAATATTAAATATAATATTTCTTGGATCTGGGAAGGATGGTCATATAAATGGAATATTATTTTTTCCTCAATGACTATATTATGCAATCAAAATTTGCTGGAAATAAATATACCATATTATCAGCTATGGCTTCTGTTCCCTACATTTCTCAAATTTTCATTAAGATTATTTTTTAAGTAAAAAAATAAAAAACACCATATATATGAGTGAGAGTAAATTTCCTTGGAAGTTGATTGTTAGGGGCAGAGAAAGTCTAGGGATTTTATTTAAGTTCATATTCAATATAATACAATAGTATGATATTATAATGTTTACCATCTTAAGCTACCAGAGTATTATTTTATTAGAGTATTTGCCACACAGTTTTTCCAGATATTTACCAGAATATCATTTTACCAGAGTAAATTATAACAGTCTTTAAGCCCATTAATTCTGTACAAATCAAGCACACAGGAAAAATCTGTTTAGTTTTGGATTCCATGTTTTTAAAAAGACATTGAACATACTAAATTATAATAAATTGAAAAATTATATTCTATGGAGGCATTTGGGCTTTATATTTCTTGGAGGAGAGTAGAGAGTATCTGAAGAACTGCCATTAGGAAGAATGATACAGATTTTTTTTAAAAACAACTTTATTGAAGTACAGGTTTACAACATTTTCATCCCTCCATTAAAATGCCTTCCAACCCAATGCCAGTTACATTTTTTTATTACTACCGGCATAACTACGACTGTTGTGTGGAAATTATAGAGAAGCATGTTTTAATTTCCCCCCTTCTTTATATGAAGGAGTTGAAGCCAAATGAATAGGGTCCTGGATTATATAGCGTGGAGCTCACTGTGCATGCTGTGGTCAAGACAAGCTAAGGCTGTATTTATTTCCAGTGCTAGTACTTCATGGCTCTGTTTAACCACTTGCTTCCTCCTGCTACTCTTCCTGACATACAGAAAAAGCAAAAATTCTCTTTTTACAGTTTGTTTTATTTGAATTTATTTACTTAGCTAGCCTGCTCTCAACTTACTTCTTAAATATATATATTTTTTCTCACCATGCCCTATTGAAGGAACCCTTACACCCCTCAACTTTCTGTAGTGCAGGGAAACATTCTCCCACCCCTGAACTTATATTATACTTCCTTCCTTAGTATTCTGTAGATTTTTTTTCCAAATGGAATTCCCTAGTAGTGTAATCATAATCTACTTTGTCCAAATATCAGCATGAGGTTTCATGGAAGGGAAAGGGACAGAGAGAGGCCAAGTGCTTGAAGAATATAAATTAGTAGATCCAAGAACTAAATTTTAATTAATGTAATTCAATATTTATGACACTTAAGAGAAAGGTATTAATGGCGTAATTTTAGGAGATCCAAAATCTGTTGTGTGAAAGCTAACCAAGGAGTGTTTGGGGCTAGAGGAAATATTTGTTGTGCTAATTTCCTTATTAAGAAGTGATTTCTGTGCAGATTATTTTCTGTGAATATTTTGATTAACTTTGGTTGTTTAATATCCATTTTCTGGCTCATTACCTTTTAGTTTTTTTAGGTTTATGCTTTTGCATTATACAAGTTGGAATAAAAATGGAAGTTGAAAAATGGTGTCTCACAAAAGCTTTTTTTTTCTGAACAGAAGTATATAGCCTTCTAAAATTTAAAAAGCCAATACATTTAAAGAAAAAATAATCATAATTTGTCATTTGCAAGCATAGAGAATATGATGCCATGAAAATATAATGTTTTGAGCTATCAAGGTTATTTATATTAACTCAAATGCACTATATTCTATATTCATTTTCTAGGGCACATGTACTGGTCAGACTGTTCTACTAGACTCTAACCTTCTTATTTTTTTTTTGAAAATATATTTTTTTCTGCAGTATAAAATCATGGCAATTTTAAAATATTTTTAAAGACAGGATTTTTACTTTTAGAGACAACTTGTCACCCAGTTTGGAGTGCAGTGCCAGATCATAGCTCACTCCCGGACTCAAGCATTCTCTTGTCTTGGCCTCCCAAAGTTCTGGGATTACAGCATGAGTCACTGCACTGGCCCATAGCAATTCTTTGTCAAAACAGTATTTACTTAAAAATTTTGTTATCCAAATCGAAAGTATTTTAAAAATAAAATTTCTTTATTTTGTTAATAGACATAAGCTTAATATGTTGCAGACATTCTAAACTAAAAATAATGTTTGTAATCACAATATGTATAAAATATTACTGATTAGTATCCTTACAATTAGATTTTCTAAAAACTGAAACTTTTTATTATTTTTTATGGTTTGATTTTATATGCAGATATTTTAACAGCTGTTGTGATAATTCTGGAACCTAGTATTCAGATTTCCTTTTAATATCATATATAGTTCATGCTTATAAAATACTTTTCTGTAGAACACCAAATCTAATATGTTAATGTATTACTTAAAATAATGATGTATCAGCCTTCCTAGTATCTAAAAGGTTCAGTGAATAAGTGTGAAGTCTAAAGGTAATTGATACACTTAGCAAAGACTTTCTTTGAAAATTTTCTTTTCAATATTTATTTTGTATCACATTTGGAAAGGAAATAGATATACAAAATAAATAGTTTTTACTTCTTAATATTTCATTTAGATATTCATGAGTTATAGCCTTGTATAGTTACACTTAATGTGTTTGCCATCAAAGTTTGGAGTAAAGAGGAAACATAATGTGCATTTTATTTTACAGACATGGTTTATATAATGTGATTAAAATATATGATAATTTAAAAATTAGTACTTTAGTTGATACAAACCAAGGAAAGGCTTATTGATAATGGTGCTGATGTATTATTTTTAACTGCAAAATTGCTTTGAAACTGTAGTTGGAGCCGTGATACTTTCTGTAATACGTTGCTATACTTAATTTGTCTTTGAACATTTTATTATTATTTGAACTTGGCAATTTACAAATGTGTATATATATTTCACAAAATAGTTATAAAATTATCAAAGTGTAAAATGAGTGAAAGTGACTGCATTTCTCTTTTATGTGCATATTTTAAATTTTCATCAAGTGGTAAGAAGTTTTAACTTGGTAGAGGAGAAGATATCAATTGTAGTGTTTTTTCACTCCCCATGGTAGGCAATAGAATTTGGGTCCATAGCTGCAATGATATGATTCAGGAGATATGCTGTGGGGCCTGGTCATTTGGGTTATTCTAGTTTTCAGATTTGCAATATA